TATTTTATTATTTCATGCATGTATTTATGATAATTCTATGATATTCTACTTGTTCATTATGGAAATAAAGAGGCTATATTATTGTTATTATTTTCTTTAATTTCTTTTTATGAAAACCTATGCCTAGACAATAATATGAAAAACATTAAGAGAAGTTCATGAATTTTTAGTTTCATGACTACTCCTATGATAAACTCAATTTGTTATTTCATTTAAAATTAACTGCTCGCTTTAGGTTATTTATTTAAAGTGAGTATGAGTATTATTAAGAAGTTTATGGATTTCACTAGAAAAAAATCCACGCGGACTGCACTGACCAATTATGCTACCACGGCCCTTAGGCCGTATACAGAAAGAAAGCCGAAAGCCGATCAGCGCCGATCGGCGCTTATCGGCGCTGATCCTTTTTCTATGGAGTAGCGCCGATATATAATAAATAATTTGTATTTGAACAATTAACCTTAAATTAAATCAATCTAAGTTATAATCTTTATATAAATCTAATAACTTTATCTTTTATTAACTAAGCGCTAAAATTATTTGTTTCGTACTTACCGAATGGTATGGAATGTAATGGAATACAATTTTAATGTAGAAAGTAAGTTTTTGCATGTTATTGCATTTAAAGCTGAATATGTTTATGAACAAAATAATAGAAATAACACCAACAATTATGTACAGTTTACTTGTACATAACAATTTGCTAACACCGCGAACGTCACTCAGGCCACGTCAATGACCCGCGTTTACCTAGAGTGTCATATTATCATAATAATAAAATATTATTTCTTCATTTAAAGACAGTGCAATTAGTAACGCGAACTTATTAACACACATCAGAGACAAGAATAGCCTACACCTTAACTGTAACTTTGTTTACAATATACTTATCTCGGAATTTATCTCTCTTTGATCTTTTTCTCCAGCACTCCAACTAATTCTCATTTTATTTTTTAAACACACCAATTAGCGTAGCCCCAAAGTAAGCACTGTAAGGCTTGTGTTATGGGATACAAGGGTAACGGATAGGATACATATACAGTACATAATTATATAAATGTATTTATATAGAAATACGTATTAAACATCCATGACTGGAGCACAAATGCTCGTATTCATCACACAAACTTCTGCCCCCGACCGGGATTCGAACCCGGGACCTCTCGAGTCAGCGACACCATGAAACCCGGCGTACAAACCACTCGGTCACGGAGGTCATCAAAGTTCCTAGTAGTCAGTTTTTCTGCGGAAGCTCACTTTATGTTATGCGATCGGTTTACAATTTTGTGATTTAGATTGTGACGGAAATTAATTTCCTGTATTGTCGGCATTTAGTAATAATAATGATGCGTGACGAAACACAGATTTTGGATTTATTATATTTTCTTCTGTTGCTATTATCACATGTTATAAAAACATTCAGTTTAAAAGGTTCATTAAAACTAGAATCCAAGAAAATAAAGATAAGTTTATAAAAAAGATGGTGAAAATACCTAGAGCCTGGCAATTGATAAAAAAAAGTTTTTTTTACACAACAAAACAGGAGGTAAACGCAAGATAAACGATACTTTTAAACCTAAAAGCCAACTATATTAAAGAACCAATTTAGAATAATGAAGAAAATGAGAATATAAATATTTAATAGCATGATAATGGCATTTTCTGCTGATCTGTGTTATATTTTCCAAAAAAAAGTGTAAACAAACCATGTTCTAAAATTAGGATCACAATGGTGTCGATTCTGGCATGATTCTCTAACCCTAAACTTAAATTTGACAACAGTGTATCTTTGTCATTCTCTATATATAATGTAAAGTGGAGACTGATGTTAAATTTAGTTTTAAGTTTAGAGAATCACGCCAGAATCGACAACAGTGGCAATCCCCATCAGTGGAGATTTCATGAATAAATGAAATTAGAGTAGACGAATGTAACTGAATATACATATGTTAACATAGTCACGGCTTTGTAAATATCAACCCCGCACGAATGTCATATAATGTTTTTAACACATTTGCGAGAAAACAATATACATACCTAATTGCAGTAATGAAGTAAACTCTTTCTAATTAAAAAATGGCGCGCATTTCCCAAGGGCGCCACGTGCGGGTGGTGAAAATAAGAACTACATCTATCGTCTCTTTTTCTTTTTAGTATTAAATGAAGACAAAGGTAAAGATTAAAAGCGCTTCCAAGGAGGTTCGACCGAAATAAAAATAATACGCACGGCGCCTAAACGGGACCGTGCGGTAATAGTAGTTTATCCTACTGTCATATAAGTCTATTTCTAAGGTAGTCCACTGGTTTAACGTTAATAATTTACTGCTAAATGAAGGGAAAACTAAGTGTTTGAAATTTGTTTTACCTAATGTTAAACAGGTAAAAACGAATGTAAATATAAAGGATCGAAATGTGAGCCTTGTAGATACCACAGTGTTCTTAGGAATCACACTAGATTCAAAGTTGCAATGGGGCCCACATATTGATAAATTGTCGAAGAGACTTAGCTCTGCAGCATATGCTGTAATGAAAATACGTCAGTTAACGGATATAGAAACTGCCAGATTAGTCTATTTTAGTTATTTTCATAGTGTAATGTCTTACGGTATTTTACTGTGGGGAAATGCCGCCGATATTCAAACAATATTTGTGTTGCAGAAGCGGGCTATTCGATCAATTTATAATCTTAAAGTTAAGGACTCTTTAAGAAATAAGTTTAAAGAAATAGGCATAATGACGGTTGCATCACAATACATATATGAAAACTTAGTATATGTCAAAAAAAATATTAGTTTATTTACTAAAAATAGTGAAATACATACACTTAATACTAGAAGTAAAAATAAGTTAACTTTACCTGCTACTAGGCTCCACAAAATTAATAACTCGTTTAGAGGCCTCTGTGTTCGCTTTTACAATAAAGTCCCAAGCAATATTCAAGAGTTGAGCCTGACTAAATTTAAATCGACTATTAAAAAAACTCTTATTAAGAATGCTTATTATAAAGTGTCTGATTATATTACAGACAAAAATGCTTGGGTTTGAACTGTTCCAACCATTCCAACGGGTATTTCTATATGATATATATTATGGATCATGTGTTGATGATACTTTTATTGAAAAGCTGTATTTAAAGCTGATTACGTAAGGAAGAATATCAGACTATTTAAGAAGATTTGAATGACAAAACGGCGTGGTCATGATTTCTCCATTGTTTTTGCTTTGTAATTGTTTGCAGTGTCCTACAGATAAATGACTTTAAGTTTAAGTAAATATGTTGTGGTTGATATAGGTGGTTATGGGTAGTCATGCTCTCTTAAAAGTCTCTTCGGTGGTGTCGTGTGAGGCGGGTCGTTACGTTCCCTAAAATATGGTTGAGCGAAGCGATGGCTGGTTCATGCGTCATGCTCGTGAACGGGTGCTGCCAGCGGAGATGAGTCTGCCCTAACTACTTTGATATTTAAGATATAAATGTTTAATTACACCTATTATAAATAACTCTGTTTGTATTTATACTGTGTGACACAGCAATCAAAATGCAGGTGTACAATTAATGTATAATTTCACATTATGTAATGAAGGGTGACTTCATGAATCATCTCTGAAGTCATTTTTCAACTTGACGACTCTGTAAATGATAAAACAGGGAGAAAAAAACAGCCCTTGCTGAGTTTCTTGCCGGTTCTTCTCAGTACAAGGTCTCCCGCCGTAGATTTACGAACCGATGGCGTAGCTTCTAGACATTCATATGTGCTTGTAACAGCCTAAACTGAATAAATGATTTTGATTATATATTGATTATTATAAGAAGGGGTATTAAAACAAGAGAGTCTGTTTATCGCATGACGATAATAAGTTGACTCGAGTGTTTTAATACTGATACAGATATGCAGTTGCATACACTACTTTATCTTTCCTCGTAGGAAAAATTGAAATTAAACAAACTAACAAAGAAATATTTTGCAAAACCTTTCTAAAATCCCGAAAACAAAACACGATCGGCAGAAAATTGGATGGGAACCGGGAGAAGATTAGAAACGGGCATGAAATATGTTTTAGCAGTAGTTATTAGTGTTTATCACACTCCAACAACGTATCATTGTACAATCGTAAACGTAGAGTGCATAGAAAGAAAAGAAGCTCATTTTGAAACACGAGCAGTTACTAACAAACCGTACTCAAGGTTTTCTTTACTGGAATTGTTTGAGTTATTAAACGGGACTAAATCCCTATTTGTGTTAGCCGGGTGAGCTGCACTTTCAATTGTTTTATTACATTACACATTCCAACTGGGCAGTAAGTTTTATTTTATTAGAAATAATGAAGAATAACTAAATGCAATGAAAATTGTAACAATGACGCATGTTATTCATCACCACACGACATACTGCACAAACTTAGCTCTGTATTCCCTAAATCACAGTTAAAACCATAATCATTCATCGGTTCGATGTTCCGTTATAACGTTCATACAAAAGTACATGACACCCGAATCATTGGAGCAAACACAGACGTCCAACAAAACAACCCGTAACGAATTTCCAAAGTAAACATTAGTTTTCGTAACTCGACCCAAAACGGGTGCCCCTATAAATTCACTACTAGTACCATACACGCATGTATAAACGACCTTATTACAAAGAGGATATAGTTCAAGATGCCCTGCACCGGGATGAGGGTGAATATGGTAGTAGAGCTCAAAAGATTTCGAACAATGCGCCTGCACAGGGGTGCGCATAACATTCACAACTTTTCGCTCTTTAGCCACCATTGTTCCAATTTGATTTATATTCATGATTCTTGCTTTTATTATTACTCGTTGGTAAATCAAGTGCGAATTCAGTTCAGCTTTAAATGGTGGACGTCAAAGGAATTAATTTGACTCCAATAAAAACGAAAATGGTAGGTACCAATAATGTACTACTTTTGAAAGCTATAGCTAAAATTCTAAACAGAATACTTTTTGCAGGATATATGAATAAAAATACGTTGTATAAAAACTATACATCTTTAATTTGAGTACAAAAATGACTAGTGCGTAAACTTTGGCAGGTACAACTTATAATAATATTTTCATATTACTTTTATTGTCTTATAAAAATTCACAATTCATCTATTTAATATATATATATCTTACGTGATATGACTAGATTTAATTTACATAATTCTTCAATATACCTAAATACAATTGACAATAAGTTTTTCTCAAATTTGAGCATTCACAACACTTGAAGATCTATTATAAAAATCTTTATATCTTTGGTTATAATAAAAATTTGTTTGTGGGTAATTCGTATCCGCACCATAAAAGTGTTTATCAGTATGTACATAAGCGTTATTATTAAAATTATTATAATTCGAAGGAAATTCGTTCGTTTTCGGATATTTTCTGTTCTTAGCAGTATCAAAAGCATTCTTAAAAATTTCGTAATTGGTTTGATTGAAATATCCATCGTTGTTGATGGGAATAGTAGCTTCATACGAGTCGTTAATGTTACTACAATTTCCAAAACTCCTTTCGTGATGGTAAAAGTTTTGCTGATTGATATCGTCACCAAAACTCGAAGGGTGGGTGAAGAATCCACTACCCGTAGTTGAAGTTATACAATTGCCTCCTTTATTGTTTACAGATACTGTAACATTTCCTACGTTTATCAGAACACCTTCTGATGTTTGCATGAAGTTTGAGCCGTTCGGGAATGGCTTACTGAATCCTTGGAAATTCCTATAACTACCATCATTATTATAATCGTCACTTTTATTCGGTACCAAAAACATGTCTCTAAATGCATCCTTTGTTATTTTTTCTCCAGCAATAGAATAATGTTGTAGCTTCTCATAATTCAATGTGAACCCTTCGGGGGGTGCATTTCCAGAATTTATATTGTCTAAAGATTCTAAGGTTTCACTTAATGCAAAAATGTAATTGTGAGCAAATCGTAGTGTTTCAATTTTCGTTAGTTTTGTATCTTCAGGAAATGTTGGTAATACGCATCGCAGTTTGTCTAATGCCTCATTCAACATGTGCATTCTATTTCTTTCTCTATCATTCGCCTTCATTCTTCGGTTCCGCTTTATTTTCATAATCTGCGTAGGACTTTTACACCTTGTCACTCTATTTTTTCCATTAGCATATTTCCTTTTTGGCTTATTAGGGTCTTTTGGTTTCTTGGCTTTGGTGGGAGTAGATGTATTATCGACCGGACTAAGGTTATTTTCAAAGGATTTAATATCAACTGGATCATGGACAGGAAATTCATAGTCACCACTAAAAAGTTTTCTTCTCACATTGTTAGATGGCTTATTCGGTGTAAGAGAAATACCAAAATCCGGTGTGTTATATTTCATCGGAGTACTATTCACTGAAGTTGGTGTCGCTGAATGATCTCCATAGGACCTGTCAATGCCTGAATCGTTGCTGCAGATGCTGTCGTTAAAGTCACAGTAGTCTTCGAAGTCTGTGCTGAACATTTTCATGTAATATCTGAAACAACATAAGAATAAATCATAAATAACTTTATTTGGTTAACATTTTCATGGAGATAAAACATTTATCATAATTAAACAATACGATTAAGAATTGAAACTTTTTTTCAGAGGTGAATGTTAAGTTTCGAGCTATTTAAATAAAATATAAGTATTGGACGGTATCTATGGCTGATGAGTTTAGAGTGTAATAAAGAATATACAGTACATATGTGATTTTTCATAATATGTTATTTATTTTACGAATGACGTGGCATTCCTGTTTGAGAAAAGAATTCAATCAAACTTTTTTAAACGAATGAACACACTTAGACTGTAGATTTGTCATATTTGCCTCTAGCCCCAATGCACCCTTATGTTTAATTTAGCTCAATTATCTCACCATGACAGGTGACCGCCTCTGAATCGCGTGACCGGCTGTTACAGAAAGTCAGTTGAACTTTATCACTTCCGACTTCCGGCGTGGGTTCCGATTTGGGACGGCAAAGTGCGTTGCTATTATTATTAGAGTTGAATTGTAATTAGTGCAGTGTTTTGCTGGTTTCTTTCAATTTATTTTGGACGTTCTCATAGCAATATGTTCAAGGTGATGAAGGAGACCTAACTATGCGTGGGTATGTTACGAAAGGAAAAGAGTGGATAGTTTATTGAGACAATAACCATTGTTGAGGTAAAGGATGTGAAAATGTTGCAGACAGATAGTTTCACATTAACACAATCAGTATAGAGTACTCACTCTCATAGTCAGATGCTTAATTAAGACATGTTCATTACCGAATTTAATTTGAACTGTACCTATTGATACGAATGAAAAACGTTTAAAACGATCTTCTCTCTTTTACGTATCGATGGAATGGAGTTTATGTGTTAAGATTTATTGGTCCAAGATTTAAATACAAATTGGAGGGATATTTTAATATAGACTTGTAAATTTAATGGTCTTTTGGTCTAAGTATTTCTCATTTTGTAGCTGTTATAGCCTCGACAATATACTCATCAAAAGAATCTAAGCAACTTGATCATTTTTTAATTTTTAACCGATTTTAAATGTTGTTAATACTTGTATTCTTTTGTTAGTAATAACCAATTTGATTTATTAATGACTAAGGAAAAGAAAGCTTTAGTTAAATTATACATTATTTATAACGACAATACAAAATGGCAAATGTTAAAACTAGCAGTGTGCGTAAATGATACACGTTGCTTAGACTTCTTTGATGTGTATATTTTAATGTAATTGCCAATTGTGAAACATTTAACTTTCTATTTGGTATCAATTCGCTTTTGCCGCGTAAGTGTATTATGGAGTGCGTTAGCGTGACGCCATATTATGACGCCACGCGACCGACACGCGATCTTCATTTGTTTGTAATTTTCCTTGCCGCGTGACGGCCATTTTGTTTCACTACGATTCTATAATGACTGTATCGTACACCTGCTGGAATCTATAGTAAGTTGATTAGGATATTCCTACGTTGTCGTGTTTTATAGTATAGGAAAGTTGTCAAAATTCCGCTTGGTTCTCCATTGCAGAACATAATGTAAACATTAAAAGAAGATTTAATTAAAAAAAGAACATGTACCTAACATGTAGCAGCTTAAAAAATAAATATAATAAACATTGAACGATTTAATAGAATCGTATTTATGTTCGAACTTGATTAATAAGGTAACTGATTGTAGATTGTCGAAAACAGCTGAAATCTTCAAGTTTCAAAGGTCTTCCACTTTGTAAAAAGCAAAAATACCTAGGTATACCTACATCTACTCAAAATTCATTAATAAATTTACCGTAAGAGTATTTCATCGACAGTTAAAAATCTGATCACACAATATTGTCGTAAATAATTAAATATGAAAACAACCCGAGTGATTTGATTCATGACTTTGACCAAATGTTGTGAAATAGCACCTGCAAGTTGGGGTCCTGCAATGGGCGGCGCCCACGCGAGTGAAGGGCGGACGGCGCGTGCCGACTTGAGTTTAACGCCATTTTCATTGTCAAATAAGGTATAGTAATAAGGTATATGGTATCAGTAAAGAAAGATCTTTTCAAAATGGGCAATAATTCACTCATATTACTCAGGAAAATCAAACTGACTTCATTAAAACGAAACCACTAAAATTTATCAAAAGTACAGTTAAATTGGTATTTACATTTTTGTCGATGCCAAACCAAGCAGTAAATGGCAACTCGGATTTATTAAAGTGTATATATTGTACACACATATATATATAATTATATATACAGATGGAGCTACAGAAGTTTCAGTCATGTGGTCATATAAGCACACTCGTATTTTTTATTTTTTTATTTATTTATTCCTTAACAATATGACATTGTGTTCATCATCTACCTTTTTTTAACCGCCTTCAGAAAACAGGAGGTTTTCTATTCAACTGTATGTTTTTTTAAGTCGCTTAAAAATATTAGGCATAGTTGTCGGTTTGCGAGCTTATCTCGAGGCGAGGCGATGCCGATACGATGTTAGTGCGTTTGAACTGGGGATTTCAACAAATAATACTCCAATGACTTTAGATGAAGCAATGATAATAAACCAATTTTGGACTGATTTATACCTTAACTTAAAGCTTGAGACTTACGCCATACAGCGGCTATTATTAACACTAGATAGATTTTTTTTTTATTGCTTGAGAGTTAATTATTTTTGTTTGAGGACCTTTTCTGTAAGTATATAAGTCTAAACTCCAGTTACATAATATTAATGACTTAATAGAGGTTCGCGTAGTGTATATATTCTGTGATAGAGGTAAGCGAGAAATGCGTGTTAAGTTACAGTAAAAACAATCGAAAACAACTAATAAGTAATAAAATTATGCAATACTATAATAAATTATGCAGATGCTTTTAATCGGTTCCTCAGTACAAGATCTTCCGCCGTAGTTTTACGAACCGATGGCGTAGCGTTTGACTTTCACAAGAGCTTGTAACAGCCTACACTGAATAAATGAGTTTGAGTTCAACGGCTTAACGTGCCTTCCGAAGCCCGGAAGAGCTCGAGACAGTAAATTTTTGGTCACCCATTCAATGACCTACCACTGCGAAAGTTGCTAAGCTTCAACGATCGCAGCCGAACGCGCCAACCACTTGCGCTATCGAGCTCATCATTAAGGTGTTAGCACGAAATTTGATAACGGACAATTTTTCCTTTATTTGTAGCAAGGATGTTACGGAGCTTCGACTCCGATTCCGATAAGGCGGAACTTTCGATTATTATTAAACCTTCGGTTCCGACTTCGGCTCCGAAACTTTTAAATCGGAGATTTTAATCAGAGGTCTAAGCATAGCAAATAGCGGCGGCGGCCCGCGTCGACCGTTACGAACTGGTTCATACCCGTCGCGTTGGGAGTCTTTGTTAATATTAAGTAAATTTAAATGAAAAAAGGTTTATTTATAATTAAAATAAAAAAAGTTTGACTGAATGATGTTACTGATGAGATTAATAGGCTGATGATGATGATGAATGATGTTTTCATTTGTTCTTAAATGAAAAATATCTCTCTTGTGACCACTGCTGACTCTGCCGCTGACCCCGACTCTGCCTCCGACTCCGGTTCCGACTCCGATAAATCAAAATTAAAAACTCCGACGCCGACTTCGGTTCCGATGAATTTACCTCCGTTACATCCCTGTTTTGTAGATAGATCTCATTTGTAACCAAGTCGACTAAGTAATTGAGAGGTGGCACGCGCTTGGTGGGCGGGCGGCACGTGCCGGGTTCATCGTGGCGGTAAAATGCTGGAAACCACTTTTTATTCGTCAATCTTTACAGAATAACTAAATAATTGACTACAAGGTCATAATTCATAAACATTAGGTACTATTGAACTAATAGAGTGCCCGATAATTGCTTAAAATTTTACCAAACCAGACAAGTTTTCTCATTTAAAGTATGCGTAATTGCACTAGGACCTTCCATAACAGATAAAACTTTATTAATTTGGATCGAAGATCTTTGAAATTCGACCTTTGTTTTAGATGCAGTAGAACCTCTTTTCGATATAACTCGAATAGTAGTTTGAATTTAGATAAAAATTCAAAAATGTAAATATATAACAGAGACTCTTTCGATTTCTTGACATTGTGAAAAACTTTGGTATATAATAATAATATCTCGAGATATTATTATCATCATCAGCCTATTAATGTCCCCACTGCTGGGGCACAGGCCTTCCCTATGGATGGAATAGGGAGATTGGGCCATGACCCGCCACGCGGGCCCAATGCGGATTGGCGGGTGCTAACGACTGCAGATGCAGCCGGGACCAACGGCTTAACGAGCCTTCCGAAGCACGGAGGAACTCGAGATAGAAGTTTTTGGTCACCCATCCAATGACCGACCACTGCGAAAGTTGCTTAACTTCAACCATCGCAGCCGAACGCGCTAACCAACTGCGCCATCGAGCGATATTATTATAATAAAATATAATAATGTCATTATAAATATCTATGGGCAATCACGTATCTATCCAGAGCTAGGTTGGCAGAGCATAAAAGATACGGCAGCGAGCTACAATAATTACAAGGCATGGACAAATTGCCGAAGTTTGTTTGTTTAGTTCTCGTTTCACAAGTCTATTTAATGATAATAATAAATTGATTGATCCATATTTAAAAAATACTACAAATATTATAAAATGTGAAAGTTTGTATGTTTGTTACTCAATCACGCAAAAGCAGCTGAACGGTTTTTGGTAAAATTTGGCAAACATTGTATAGTTAATTATTTGAATTGATATATAGGATACTCTTTATCCCGAAAAAAAAGGTTCCTGAATGATTCTCAAAAAAATAAAGTTAATACGTCCGAAGTCGCGGGCTACCGTTAGTAAGCTATATTCTTGCTAAATGTAGAAATCAATTTTACCCGTTCTAAGACGGATAGCTAATTCATAATAAAATTATCGACTAGGTAAGTGAAACTTTTGAAAAGTTTTCTAAGATATTTTTTTTAAACATTATTTTGGAGACAGTGTTTATTCATTAAGAATTAGGTACTAAAGATTTATCCAAACCCACATAACGTCTAATTTTTTTATGCGTAATATATATGTATGGTAAATAAATAATGAACTCCATGAACATAAATTAAAAAAATAACTTAGGGCCTAATGAAAGTACACAATGTAACTTTTATAGTTAATCAAGGAACCGATACCGAAAACTTGCTTGAAAAATATTATAGTAAGTTTAAGTAACGTGAGTCGCATAGTGCGTCTCAACTTTAACAATTAAAGTACTATTCGAGAATTTACTCGATCTCACTATGATATCCTTCTCAAAACATCAATTAACTCACAATTAATATTAAAATCTTAATAAAACTTCAACTTACTTTCAAAACACACGTGATAACTACAAATAAGCTTTGTGTATAAAAAATTACAATTTAATAATTCACTGTGCACTAACATCACAACACAGTATGACACATTAAACTAATAACTATTATGTCCATGACTAGATAGATCCTTGGACCACAGTGCACTGCGCCTGCGCGGCTCGCACTGTGGGCTGGGACCACTCGCTCCCTGTTTTATTCCAAACGCCATCAATGGGCAAGCCACTCGAAAGGGTACGCCCATTAATAGTTATCGAAAAAAATATGGAATAAAATAGCATTGCAATTTAAATTTACAAATAATAAGCTAAGATGATATTCAACCGTTTAATTTATGTAATTGATTGATTAAATTAAGAAATTAAATGACGAAAATGTGCATATTATGTTTATTCAAAAAGTTACCTTTAAATGTCATAAGTCCACTTGGAGAAATTTTGCTAAATCTCGATGTAACTTAAACCAGATTTAGGCCATAGAAGAATGTCAAATTGACACTGACGTTTGACATTTTTGTATGAGCTAAATCCAGGTCTAGTCAAAACGAGATTTAACAAATTTGCTACAAGTGGGCCATAATGCATAATTTGTAAAAGAACTTGATGGTTGGATTCGATGTAAAATCGTGTCAGGTCGATTTGATATTTCGTAAGTTTTAAAGATTGAAAACACTTCCATCCTGTAATATTATAAATGAGACAATAATCTTTAAAGCTATTATTTCTTTTGACGTTTTTCTGTGTAAGCTGCTGAACTAGTTTTGGTAAATATTTGGTACGAATCTGAACTTTGTTAAAAATTCTTCCTAGTTCTCTAATAATATATTTTGAAGCAGTGGGATAGCTTTTCAAATTTCACAAAAGCTTTTTAAGCAAAAAGAAAAAATTACAAGAAAAAATAATAAATTGGTCCGCGTGGAGTTTTTTTAGTAAACTTTTCTTTAGATTTATTAGATCTTACTGAAATAACGACCTGTCTACTGACTTTCACTTGCATGTATATAGCATTACCTGTAAGCTCAAAAAGGTATTTCTCTCCCCTAAACGTTCCTTTTCACTTTTATGTAAAAAGATCAGTAACAAAGCATAATGGCTCGCCTGATGATAACCGGCAACTCTAGGCGACTTAAGCGTGGGATCTAACTCAGCTGATAAACTCAAACTCCTAATAATTATTAATCATTAAGCTTACTTTGGGGCTAGGCTAATTGATGTGCGCGTGTGTGTGTGTGTGTGTGCGTGTGTGTGTGTGTGTGTGTGTGTGTGTGTGTGTATGTGTGTATGTACGTGTGTGTGTATGTGTGTGTGTGTGTTACAAATATTCATTTATTCCGCCGTTCCATATATCCCTACTAACATTTATTCCCATTGGTAGGGGTGCTCGGAGATTTTGTCCAACGATTTTGATCCCTACTGGTCCGCACTGGTTCAGATTACTGGATTTTCTTTCATTCAGTCTTGGCTGTTACAAGCTCTTGTGAATATCGATAGCGTTTACCGATAGCATAGTCTAATAGCTCTATATAGAAATTCAATATGTTATATTTCTATTAAGTTTCAGACCTTTGTAAGGTCAGTACTTCCCCATACGGGCGCTCTGAATCGGGATTCGGGACTCGAATTTGCTCCATTCGAGATATCTTAAATAGTCCAAATAAATATTACCAACACCGGCTGTAGAACCAATAAAACGGTTGAATTTATGAATTGTGCATGTCGTTCGACATTTTTTACTCGCCATTCACAACCCTTTGCCGCTGAGCTTTGTCAGTATTGACGTGCAATAAATTACATCAATATTTGATCAGACACGGATGTGATACACTTTTTATTGTGGAAGGTGGCATAAAGGACTTTGTGCCACCCTATGTTTAGCTTAAGAGGAGTCTAAATGTGAAAATAGCTTAAAGTTCGGTTGTGCTTACGAATAAGTTAAAGTAATTCTTATCATTTTTGCATATGGAGTTCTAACAATCATACAATAAATACAATAAACTACAACAGTATTTATTGAACACGGACGCGAGTTGAGAGTTATTTGAGAAATAGGTATTTGAAAAAACAATTACTGTCTCGCTTTGACAAATACCGTGCGATAGAGACAACAGTAGTTAACGCTGAAAATTGCGCATAAAAATTGCAATATTTGAGGTTTGGCTCTCGACGATTTCCTCCTCTAAAATTAGATGATATGTAAAAGAAATTGAGCACAAAGAATAATAAGTGATTATGCTATACCTCTATGTTTTTTTTTTTTGTAAATGCTTATTTCCATACGTTTGTATGGAAAAAATCATTGCCCGCCTCCCCTCTTAAGAGTTCCTACTTTTAAAATGTCCACAAACCCTTCAATGAATATTTTACAAAAAGCTAAGAGATTGTATTTTAATTTGAAGATGAAACCTGCTTGCTGCTTGCATGTGTAATAAACAATCGACTAGAGTCTGTGCGGAAAGAGAATGGGCGTGGCGAAAAACGGAACTAACACTAAGATTTTTATTTGGCAATCAAACCCAGCTATCTGTAAAACGTCAAAGTTTTGTATTGATACGAATTTGTTGTTTGTTCTTGCGGTTTTTTGTATTTAATCATGTCTAAAAGCGGTAAAACCTTACAAATACGGTAGAACAGTACTACAGCGCCCTCCAATCTAAATCCCGTTCTCTATCCCCACAGACTCTATCTTAATTTTCTTCTCTGTAATGAGCAAATCAGACCATGAGCCCATTATTATCATAAGTTGGCTAAATAAATATAAAACAACAAAATTGATAAAGCGTCTCAAAACTTCGTTAAGTTAAGAGAAACGGAGTAGGTAACTTAGGTTTGATTTACAGTGCCTAACTACAGAAAACTACCTATAATGCCCTCTGTCTCCATACAACACTAAGAAAGCAATATTGTGTTTAGAATTACCATATAACAGACATTTGTGCCCTAATTATTTTTAATAGTTTCCGGTACTAAACTAACAGAGAGAAATAAAAATTATCACCTTAGTTAACGGATGATTAGTTAACAAATAAACACACAAAGAAACATTTTAACACCAAATGCCGCCCGTTCCACTTGATTGGCAAAACATTGACAAACTCCGTCACGCTACCATCAAAGGGTTACAAAAACTTTATTTTTATTTTTATGCGAGTAACAAAATAACGCAGTTGAATTATGAAATATATATCCTGATTAGTGATTTTGCTTAGATTTTATAAAAAGAGTCTTATAAAAGAGACTTTTTGTCTGTTGAAAAGGAAAAAGGAAGAAGAATGATGAACCACAGGCAACAGATTACTAAATATATTTACAAGATAATTAAAATATTTACACGAGTGTGGGAGTGAGTAGTGTGGAGTTGTTAATTGTGACGAGTGTAAGTCGAAGGCGATCTTCGAAATGACACGATTGCCAAAAGGTCTGGTATCAGATAAAAACGCCACTGAATGGTCCACTCCACGAGTGCACGAGGAAGGCCGCATTGCGGGAAGAATGGCGGCGTATTGTGAAGCGTGCCATCAACCCTGATGTGACGACCATGACCAAGTCAAGAGTGTAGTGCCGAAGAAGAAGAATCTGAAGGTCAGTGCAGTTTGAATGAAGTCCATTTGCAAAGATGTTTATGCAGCAGGCAAAATTGCAGTACCAACCAATCTAACCTACCACCCTCTTGAATAAGATTAATTCCCTACAATTAGCCATGGAGCTTTGGCTACGATAAATAGAGTGCCTGATGGGGCCATTAATGTTTTCTGAGGAGAACTTGGAAGGCTGATCCAAAAATAAAATGAATGCCATTAACTGTATCAAGTACTTGTAGATGATCCACAGGCACATAATGTCCATTCCTCAGCTGTCTACACCAACCGATTCTTATTCAGATCTTGTTAGATTGTGACAGAAAATTAGATTGGATTAGTAATATTTTTGATGTTGCTAGACATACATATAATCCGTAGTTAGTTAGCGATAGACAGTAACCAATATGACTGCTATATTCTTCTGCTTAACATCAGATTGTTCCGCATTTTTAATTTCCTTTTCAATAACATTTTGTTCCAATCAATCTTTTCTAATGTAGAAATGCAACAAGTCAGGTGCGATCCTTCAAATGTGGCGCGGCGAGGCGTCGATCGTCAAATCGCGTCGTTATGGCGGTGCTGGCCGTTTAAAATAATAAATAACAAGTGACGATCGGGGTGCGTTTAGTTACTTTGCCGTTGCCACGCTCGAGAGCCCATGAATGCAATATAACGTGCGTGTACATGCGCCTGTTGAGGGTTACCATTAGGGATGCTGCTTCAAGAAAATAAACGTAATTTTATTAACAAATGCATTGTTGCTTTACCTTTGGCTTCAAAAAAGTTTGAGGCTGAAGTTATTCAATGCAGGATTCAATCATTTTTAATGCTATTATCTACCACAACGTGTACAGCTAAAATTATAGCTATTAACGGGATTGTTACCATGTACCTTGTTTTTTATGAATCTCCGATATTAGCCATAACGTTAGTGACTATGAAAGCTTAAAACAATAAAATGTGCAGCTAAAGTTTTATCAAAGTACGTAAACCTGATACCTACAGTAATAGACACAATTTTGTTTTAAGAATTTTTCTACGTAATATTTTAAATGTGTAATAATTTTGCCTGCTTGCGACATCCCTGTGGAGGTTAACCCTTCAGCGTCGTGCCCCTCGCTGGTCCAAACATCCAGCCACCGGCCCGCGCCGCCACCGAGCATAATTCTGCGGACTTAACCCGTTACGAGACGATCATTACTAGTTTATTTCATAGAAAAATAATGACGTACCCAAACTATTATATTTATTTATCGTGTTCTTGTATCTGTAAGTTGTGTTTATTTACAAAATATTTGCTTATGTGGATTTAGGTATACCTATGTATTTCACTTTTTTCTTTGTGAAACACATTCGTGTTGTTAACTAAAATGTTGAGGAATATAAATTTTAAAATAAGTATAGATAAACATAGCTACAAAATTGCTTTTGCCCTTCTTAATTTTTAAGCTAAGTAAGTTATTTCCAATTTTCTTCTTATGTATAAGCTGATGTCACATTACCAGAAGCTTCGCTCAGAATCAAGTTACTCAATTAAGTTTAATCCCAGTGGACAGACGTATTCTGATATCTACTACTATCGAA